ATGTCCGCCGGCGGGATCGAACCCGTTTCTTCTGCGAAAGAAGTGAACACTTGTGAATTCTCTACACGCAGGATATAATCAAGTATTTCGTGCCTGAATCAAGTATTTTCGTTGTCAAAACAATCAAGTATGAATAGTTCTTAAATCTAGTCATATTTTTACTAAAAACTAGATCGATTTAATAGTAAAGTAAGAAAGTTGCAGGTATGATATATTGTAAATTTAAATTGGTTATTAATTATTTGTTAGTAAGAGAAATAAGTGTTGAAGTAATATTATAATATTAATTTAAGTAATATTCATTATTTAAGTTTACTTACGACTTGTCGCTCAAGGGCATTAATTTATGCGCCTATATAACGAGCACTTTCAGAATAAACAGTTGGGAATTCTTAGATATTTAAAACCAAAATGTGCTTAATGTGAGAGCTTTTTTTTTTAGCGCGAACGTTCTTTAATGGTAAGCATGTAATCGTTCTTAAATCAAGGCTTTTTGTACTTTATTCTAGAACGGTGTTTTTCCCTGAGTGTATCAATAGCGCTTTAGGTACATATCTATGCATTTTAAATGAAGTGTAGCCATGGGAGTTTAAAAAATATTTCTTTTTTTAGAGAACCTTTATACCTCTTATAAAAGTTTATATTTTTTAGGGTAAGAATAATTTTAGGGTTAGGGTATTCATTTATAGAAAAGGAAATGCAGAACAATTTTATTTTTGCGTTAAAAAAAATACATTTTTTCTAGTTTTTAGGGCAATTCCAGTTTATGGTTACCATTTCCCATATTAAAGAACGCTTTCTTGGCTTAAGAAAAATGTTCTTGATTTAAACAAAATTTCCTTAACTTAAGAAAGAATTTTTTTGTAATTAAAAAAAGACATTTTAATGACGATTTCCTAAAATTAATGGTTCATTATATTTTGATTGTATTTGTAAAAAAAATTGTAAGTAATGAATTTTTTACAAAACAAATTAAATTAAAGCATCTTCTCTTCGAGAAAAATTAAACAAAATATCATCACTTTAAAAACATTTAAAAGAAGAAAGGAAGTTAGCTTCGGCAAGCCGAAGCTTGTATACCCTTGCAGTTATATTTATTAAATTTAAAAATACAAAAAATTATACTCAAAAGTATATATGTCAGAAAACACCGAAGCTATAATTTCTTTCATATTATTTTCCCACCAATTTTCCGATCGTTCCTATGGCAGCTATATGATATAGTCGTCCGATTTTGATAAAACTTAATTCGAGATTCAAAACTAATTAAAAAATGATATTTCCAAGCTTAGGATGTTATATGTTAGAAAACACCAAAGATATATATTTTTAAAATTTTTTTTCCGATGATTCCTATGGCAGCTATAAGATATAGTAGTCCGATCCGGCTGGATCCGACTTATATACTACCTACAAAAGATATAAGACTTTATCAGCCCGATAGCTTAAAAACTGAGAGACTAGTTTGAGTAGAAACGGACGGACAGACGAACATGTCTAGATCGACTCGTCTAGTCATGCTGATCACTTCACTGTGTTGCAAACTTCTGACTGAAATCAATATACCCTCTGCAAGGGTATAAAAAACAAATATTATTTACTAAACGAAAGAAAGTATTATAGAATTATAAAACTATAACGCCATTCACTCAAAAAACGAACATTCTATTGAGCGACATTTTAAATTCCAGTCAAAGCCATTTCGAATCCCTATAGACGTTTTTCCTGATAAAATACCGATTTAGGTCAAGCTGGTACTACTTTTCTTGTCGCTAGCTGTTTATCTTGATGAATGCGTGCCAAAAGCTTGAGTCCAATTCAGTGCTGTATGTATATTTAGTCCACCAAAACTGTGCTGCGAACAACAATTTAAAAAAATTGGTCAGCGATAGAGGGCTTTTTAATCACCCATGAGCAATTTAGTTCGGATCTTTGTAGAAAATCAATATATTTAAAATGCTGCGGACTTGGGAATTTACCGGTAAGTTATTTTTTCAAAGATTGTGACTTCTACGATTTTGTGAAGGAAGGATTAAAACGTGATTTTTGCTTGGATAGCTAAACAAATATACCGGCCTATCTTTATTATCTCTGTTTTTGTTCCTTCAGGTGTCGTGACATTAATGATCTGCAATATCCTTACCATTGCCGTTTATAGTTACGTAAAGAAACTCCGAAATACACTTGGCAAGTGCGTTATTAGCTGCCTACTTAGCTTGGTCATGATTCAACTGTATTGGATACTAATCGTTTCGGGTTTATGGATGGTTCTACCTGATTTCGGTATGTTATTGAATGAATATCTGGTTAGATTTCCATTATTTTGTAAGCTTTTAGTATTTTCAGTAATATATCCTGCGCTATTCTTCCAAAGCGCTCACGTTGTATGGCTTTCTGTCACTAGCTATCACTTGTGGCAAACATTCAAGACTCTCAGGCGCGATGATCATCGATATCAATTTCTGGTCTATAGTGCTATTGCTTGGATCACGGCTGCTGGCACTGTAGGATTGTATATGAATACGTATACATTGTATATCTTGGTGTTTGGGCTTGGTAATTATACCCGTTACTCGTAGAGTAAAAGGGTATACTAGATTCGTCGGAAAGTATGTAACAGGCAGAAGGAAGCGTTTCCGACCCCATAAAGTATATATATTCTTGATCAGGATCACTAGCCGAGTCGATCTAGCCATGTCCGTCTGTCCGTCTGTCTGTCCGGATGAACGCTGAGATCTCGGAAACTATGAGAGCTAGGCTATTGAGATTTGGCGTACAGATTCCTGAGCTTCTTACGCAGCGCAAGTTTGTTTCAGTAGACTGCCACGTCCACTCTAACGCCCACAAACCGCCCAAAACTGTAACTCCTACAGTTTTGATGCTAGATAGAAAATTTTAACTGAAATGTATTGTTCTCATCAATACCTATCTATTGACCTAAAAAAAAGTTTGCCACGCCCACTTTAACGCCCACAAGCCGCGAAAACCTGTGACGCCCACAATTTGCATGCTAGATAAAAAATTTTAACTGAAATGTATTGGTGTCGTCAATACCTATCGATTGATCCAAAAATAAATTTGCCACGCCCACTCTAACGCCCATAACGCTTAAATCTGTCTACCGCCGGTAGGTGGCGCATTTTAATCTCGCTTTGCTGCTTGCATATCTCCACTTTCCTTTGAGTAACGGGTATCTGATAGTCGAGGTACTCGACTATAGCGTTCTTCCTTGTTTTGATTTGGATTTATATCGATGTAATGAACATATATATAGAAAAAAGGTGTGGCGCCGCCCATTTTTCACATGTTAAATCGAAAACAATTCTGAGTTGTCTAACCTGAGGTTGTGACCTAAAAAGGTAAATTGCGACGAAAGTGCGCAAAAGTGCACTTTAGAATAGCATTCATATGAACAAGAACTGAACTACCGACAACACAGTGTAAATATTAAGGTGAAACTAGGTGAAACTCACTTTATATCTCTATTTAAAGTTAGTTTTTATTGTAAATTTGTACACGTAAAGCGACTATAAAAAACACTCAATTACAGGGACAACACAAACAAATCCAACTTGTGACGACCACAAACATAAAGTACAAACCGCTATCTTTCGATGCCATCATAACTTGTTTGGTAAAAACTTAGTTTGGTGCCTTATTTTTATAATTTTAAACCGACTCTTTTTTTTCACAAAGTAGCTTTCGTGCGCCCGTGACACCGAACAGCTGTTTTAACAGCCGATATTTTAACAGATCGTGACTCTGTTAAAATTTCTGTTACGTAACATTAAAGTTTGAAGTTTTCCCAACACTTTGTCTTCATTAGATTTTAATATTAACGACTTTCGAAAAATTGATTTTTGGCCACAAAAAGTGGTCAGCCAGCCTATAGTGCAGCAGTAGAGAACAAAATAAAGGGAAAAATTTTACCTTTTCATTCCTAGAAGTTAATTTAAGAAGTTGTTGGAATTTACAGCACTAACAGAATCCTTTACTTACAAGAAAAAACTTCATCGACAAGTCGTGTAAAATGTATATTGATGCATATATGAAACTTACACTGATTAGGCTACACCCCTGATAGATTTGATTCTCCCTAAGCCCTAATTTATGGGTGAGCATTGCAAAAGAGTTCAAAGAACTCTCACAGTTTTGAAAGTTTTACTAGTGGATTCTAAGTTATTTATAACCAAATGCTGTAATACTATTGACTCTTTGAGCATTGACTGTATTAAAAAAACAAGGAAGAACGCTATAGTCGAGTACCTCGACTATCAGATACCCGTTACTCAAAGGGAAATGGAGATATGCAAGCAGCAAAGCGAGATTAAAATGCGCCACCTACCGGCGGTAGACAGATTTAAGCGTTATGGGCGTTAGAGTGGGCGTGGCAAATTTATTTTTGAATCAATCGATAGGTATTGACGACACCAATACATTTCAGTTAAAATTTTTTATCTAGCATGCAAATTGTGGGCGTCACAGGTTTTCGCGGTTTGTGGGCGTTTAAGTGGGCGTGGCAAACTTTTTTTTAGGTCAATCGATAGGTATTGATGAGAGCAATACATTTCAGTTAAAATTTTCTATCTAGCATCAAAACTGTAGGAGTTACAGTTTTGGGCGGTTTGTGGGCGTTAGAGTGGGCGTGGCAGTCTACTGAAACAAACTTGCGCTGTTACGCAGCTCAGGAATCTGTACGCCAAATCTCAATAGCCTAGCTCTCATAGTTTCCGAGATCTCAGCGTTCATCCGGACAGACAGACGGACAGACGGACAGACGGACATGGCTAGATCGACTCGGCTAGTGATCCTGATCAAGAATATATATACTTTATGGGGTCGGAAACGCTTCCTTCTGCCTGTTACATACTTTCCGACGAATCTAGTATACCCTTTTACTCTACGAGTAACGGGTATAAAAACAACTCTGTGTCAGATCTCATTAACTTAGGATTCCACATCCTACGTATATTCAATTTGGTCATGTTTGTGTTGACTGTCATTAACATTCGGAAAGTGAAAAGAGAAATTTTGAGGTTTGAGCAACAAAAAGAGACCACAAGGACCTGCTTTAATTTCGATGCCCAAACGTAAGACCAAACGTATTCCGGTTTGCGAATATAACGTTTCATCTTGTTTCCTTTCAAACATAGTTATGCAGTCTACTTGAGAATTTCCGTTATCATGGGCGCAGCTTGGATTTTTCATTCCATTACTGAACTTCTTAAATTTGACGACTATTACTTTGGTTTAATCGGAACTTTAATCCATTTCTTTTTTGGTATTATCCATTTTTTTTTGCTTATCCTTAAGCGAAGCACCCTAAAGCTTTTAATAGATAGGTAAGTCCTATGTGGTCAAAGCAGACACTCCAATAACACGTTCTCTTTTCCCACAGCTTTCATGAAAGAAGGAATGAGAAGCGAGTCCGTGCTCAGAGGAAAAAAGACCTGGCACAAATATCTAAACACATCCAGAAAAAAACATAGTAAATGCTAATGCAGTCCATCTCCTATAACTCGAATATCTATTTTCCAAATAATAAATTCGAGTTTGAGAAAAAATATTTTGTTCTTGATTTCTAAAACTTCGGTCTTTTCATCACTTTACACGTACACTTTCATAATCTTCAGAATTAATTTATTTTTATACTTGTTTGTGTAAGTATTCTACTAGTTATTATTATTAAATATAGATTACCTTTGAGTATTGTCCCAGACATTACATAATTAAAGTTAGCTGCATCGTTCTTTCTTCGTCTTCGGATTAATCGTCTTGTCCTTCTTCGACTGTGGTTTTAATACTTACGAGTTTATGTTAAATAAAACAGAAATCGTTTCTTGACGTAACAATGGTTTTATTTCTTAGATAAAAAGTCGTCTTCTTAAGTCGGGGGTACACTTTGAAGTAAAACTAAATTCGTTATACATGTAGTGGGCTTAAAACGAACTCGACGTCAGCATATTGCTGGCAGAGCGGCTGCGGAAATACCAAAGCAGACAGCAGCATTTTTGAGTATTTTGCCCAATGTGTTGCTGCGCTCTAGATGCTAGCGCTGCATTTCTGTTTAGGCGCAGCGAGGAAGCGGTAGCTATATCTGAGGTAGCTGGCGGGCGGTTGAATGTTTGTTGTCGTTGTGTGGCAGGTAGAAGGAATCGTTTCCGACCCCATAAAGTATATATCTATAGTCATGATCAGCATCACTAGCCGAGTCGATCTAGCCATGTTCGTCTCTCTGTCCATCTGTCCGTATGAACGCTGAGATCTCGAGAACTATAAGAGCTTGAACATTTATACCCTTGCAGAGGGTATTATGATTTCAGTCAGAAGTTTGCAACGCAGTGAACGAGACGTTACCGACCCCAAAAAGTGTATATATTCTTGATCAGCATCACTAGACGAGTCGATCTAGCCATGTCCGTCTGTCCGACTCACCGTCTGGCAGTCTCTCAGTTTTAAAGCTATCGGGCTGAAACTTTCGCAAAAGTCTTCTTTTTTTGCAGGTAGTATATAAGTCGGAACCAGTCGGATCGGACAACTATATCTTATAGCTCCCATTAGAACAATCGGAGAAAAAAACTAAAAAAATATATATCCTTGGTGTTTTTTAACATATAACCTCCTACGCTTGGAAATAACATTTTTTAATTGGTTCTGAATTTTTAATTTAGTTGTATCAAAATTTGACGATTATATCATATAGCTGCCATAGAAACAATCGGAAAATTGGTGGGAAAATAATATGAAACAAATTATAACTTCGGTGTTTTTTATCATATAACCTCCTACGCTTGGAAATAACATTTTTATACCCGTTACTCGTAGAGTAAAAGGGTATACTAGATTCGTCGGAAAGTATGTAACAGACAGAAGGAAGCGTTTCCGCCCCATAAAGTATATATATTCTTGATCAGGATCACTAGCCGAGTCGATCTAGCCATGTCCGTCTGTTCGGATGAACGCTGAGATCTCGGAAACTATAAGTTCTCATCAATACCTATCGATTGACCCAAAAAAAAGTTTGCCACGCTCTCCCTAACGCCCATAAAACGCCCACAAACTTAAAAAAATCGTAAATATGAACGTGGATATCTCGGAAACAATCAAAGATAGAGAATTGGGATTTCAGATTTAGATTCCGTAGCCTTATACGCAGCGCAAGTTTGTTACGCGAATATGCCACGCCCACTCTAACGCCCACAAACCGCGAAAACCTGTGACGCCCACAATTTTTATGCTAGATAAAAAATTTTAACTGAAATTTATTGGTCTCGTCGATACCTATCGATTGACCCAAAAAATTTGCCACGCCCACTCTAACGCCAATAACGCTTAAATCTGTATACCGCCGGTAGGTGGCGCATTTTAATCTCGCTTTGCTGCTTGCATATCTCCATTTAGCTGAGTAACGGGTATCTGATAGTCGAGGTACTCGACTATAGCGTTATTCCTTGTTTTTACTATAATCAAAACACTCTCCCCTAAGCTTAAGCTAGTCTAAGAATAAAGATAGGAGTCAGATCATAAGAAATAAAGCTTTGATCTGGCAGGATCTGAGTACAGACCGCACAAGTGGCCACACACGTTAAGGCTACTATCTCATTTGAAGTCTGATTTAGTTATTGATTTTATAATAGAGGAGCCCAACAAGCAATCGGCGTGCGGGAGAGACTCGGACTCCTAGATCTACAATGATGTGCAAAATTATAAGATTAATTAACTTTTCAAGTAAGATGGAATCAAATTCAAAAACTCACCGTGGCTCTGAAACGTTGTTGTCTATCTCTATATCAGTTTTTCTAAGCTCTAACTTTAATCCCTGTAGTGCCAAAATCGCATGTTCTAATTTAATCTCAATCATTTTTTCTTTTCTTTAAAAGAGTTTTTAACAATGACTGATTTTGAAGTGAAGTGGGGGAATGGAAGATGGGCAAGGAGCTAGAACTAGATGAACTAGATGAAGAACTGAATTGCATATCGATTAATTAGGTGTCCCTAACTATTTCAAATTGCCTATGATTGGGTCCTGTTTTGCAAAGTCAAATTTTCAAATTTATGTTTTTAAAATTTGTTTGCAACCTTCTCTCCCTTTTTATCTCCTATTTTTTATATTATCCATTCTCGATGTCTGTTCTTACACTATTATAAAGCTAAAAAAAAATTAAATATTTTTGAATCAAGGCTCCATGTGTTCTTCCTCTTCCACAAACATGAGTCATATTTTTCCTGATCTTTGACACCCCATTCTGCATAGCAACAACCCCTCACCATTGCTTCACAACACCTACCATTACTTTCACCTATCTCTGCACTCATCCTCTCCCCTTAAGATGAGACAGCAAATAATTAATAAATATTTATATCATGATACTTTTTTCAACTGACATAACGAATACAGCTTGATACAACTTAACATTTCTGTTAGAAAATCGAATTTTTTTGGTCTGGCAGCACGGATATTTTTAATTTGCTAGTGGCAACGCTAGAAAATTTAAATGAAAAATAATAGTTCTGAGTATCTTAAAATCTGGTTTAAGTCTTCACTACGGCAGTAAATCAAGTTTCCAACCTTTTCCAATTCAAATTCTTACATTTATTTTACAAACTGCTTGGCAGAAAGCAGTTCTGTAGACCACATTACCGAACAGCTTTATATTTTCTCCACAAAGGGGCGCCACTCTATGCCTTTTAAAGCATTATCCCCGTAAGATATAACTAGCTTCCACTGAAACATATTTTCGCATCAAATAACGAAATTTTTGAGAGTGTTTCAGTCAACTATAAGATTTCTCGTCTCACCATTTTGCTAACGAAATTGTTTTGCGTTGAGTTTGCGTTCGTCCTATACCCTGTGAAGATGAAATTTGGTTTAGCATGTATATTAGATGTTATGTTCTCTAAGGTTGTTCATTTAATTTAATAAAGTATAACAGTTTAATGTACATAGACATAACCGAGTCTTAAGGTATTTGAATGTTCCTAACCCTTCGGATCCTCTTAAAAAAAGCAAAATTAAGCACACGTCGCTGTTTTTTTTTTGCTTTTCCATCGATACAAATTGTATCGAATTCGTTTAATGGGTGACCCCAACCAACTTTTGAAGCTTTATTTTAAGTCGTGTTGTATTTGATTGTTTAAATATTCATAACTAGAAAAGTTCCAATTAGGTACCATTCATTGGGTAAACTTGAAATGAAAAAATGGTACTCAAAAAGTATTCAACCAATCATGTTTTCTGAAAATCACCACTGATCAAAGGAGGTTTAAAAATTAAAGAATTCCAAGTGAAACTCTTTCTAAATGCTTAAACTTTAAAGTTAAAGTTCAGCTCAGCGGTAGGCCTTTACCAAATCCATTGACCTGTCCTTGATTGACCATTAGGACATTACTTTGCCCGTTCCCATAAAAATAAATTGGGCAGCTTACGTTGTTAAATTTTATTTTAAATGGTTTTTCTCTTTCAATTACAAATGTATTTAATATTATTGTTGTTGCTGCTGCTTTTTCGTATATTTTGTTGTCGTTAACGCATTTGATTTTTGACTTGAGTTGCTGTTGTATATTTTTATGTGTGCATAAAAATCGTTTCACAATCAACAACATTATTTCATTTTGTTTTGATTTATATTTTTAAAATGCATTTTGTTTGTAAATAAAATAATGTCTGCATGAATTTTTGTTAAAGTATTCGCTTGCCAGTTTCCCGTATCCGCTTCGCTTTATATAAATATGTAGTGTATATATAATTTGCCTTCGGTTTTCATTTATTTTATTATTAAATTACATTTCACAAAATACAATTCACAACTACACTTGACGTCAAGTTTCTGGTTTCCGTGTGTCTTCAACTAATCCATCAATCACCGCCCAGCTTTCAATCCTCTCCTATCATGACCTATCAATCTATAATCCACTCCGTAATGAAATATTTTCTTTTTAAAATTAAAAAATCGTATACATTCGCAAATTGCAATCAATTTCGTTTCATCAATTTAGTAAATTAGTTTTCAATCACAAAAAATTAACGGAAAATGTTTGGAGTCGAGAATTATATTTGCATTAGTTATTTTTACATTTTACCACTTCAATTCATTTGGATTTCCATTTACGTATATTCGTTACACTCTTTAGCCTTTAATATTTGGTATTCATAGATAAAAGCGTTTGCTATGTACGCCTTGAACTAAAGTTTGAGAAATGCAAAAGTCCTTTTGGGGATCCAACTTTCTCTGAGAGAACTAAACTAAACGCTACTAGCTAGCAATATTTTTTAAGCTTATTAACAACATCAAATAGTACGCGTAAATGGTTGTATTGGTTTTTTTGCGTTCAATATGTATAATATGTTTATTAAACATTGTACGTCTTGTAGAGAAATTAGCTAATTAATGATTACTCTTTTTTGGTTTTTGTTTTCTGCTTTTGTTTGCTTAACTTGGAGAGCTTCGTTTTAATGATACGTATAAGTGTTCGAGGGATTCTCT